GAGAGAGAGAGAGAGAGAGAGAGAGAGAGAGAGAGAGAGAAACTTTTTGCCGAGGCTGCCGGCGCTGCTAATAAAGGAATTTTTGAGTTAACTTCAGAGGGTTTGTTGTGGGTCAGAACAATAGCATTTTTTCTGCTTGCTGGTCGCAATCCCAGAATGCCCTGAGCTGACGGACTCCTTCGCCCTGTTTCTAGGCTCAAGAGGAGATGGCATGGAGGATAGCCAAGATGATCGTCAACGACGTCATGCAACAGGCCCAACCCCCAGAGGCAGCGGTCGACAAGGTGACTAAGGTAATGACTCAGGTGGCAACAGCTGGGGTGTCCAGCCTTGGCAACTTTAAGGCTTGTGGACTTCAAATCCTCTGCTGGCTCGGGAATTCTGGGACTTGAAGTCCACCCCTCTGAAAGCAGGCTGGCTGGGGGATTCTGGGAGTGAAAGCGCATCCCTCTTAAAGCATCCTGGCTGGGGGATTCTGGGAGTGGAAGCCCTCCCCTCTTAAAGCAGGCTGGCTGGGGGATTCTGGGAGTGGAAGCCCTCCCCTCTTAAAGCAGGCTGGCTGGGGGATTCTGGGAGTGGAAGTCCTCCCCTCTTAAAGCAGGATGGATGGGGGATTCTGGGAGTGGAAGTCCTCCCCTCTTAAAGCAGGATGGCTGGGGGATTCTGGGAGTGGAAGCCCTCCCCTCTTAAAGCAGGCTGGCTGGGGGATTCTGGGAGTGGAAGTCCTCCCCTCTTAAAGCAGGCTGGCTGGGGGATTCTGGGAGTGGAAGTCCTCCCCTCTTAAAGCAGGCTGGCTGGGGGATTCTGGGAGTGGAAGTCCTCCCCTCTTAAAGCAGGATGGATGGGGGATTCTGGGAGTGGAAGCCCTCCCCTCTTAAAGCAGGCTGGCTGGGGGATTCTGGGAGTGGAAGTCCTCCCCTCTTAAAGCAGGCTGGCTGGGGGATTCTGGGAGTGGAAGTCCACCCCTGTTAAAGCAGGCTGGCTGGGGGATTCTGGGAGTGGAAGTCCACCCCTGTTAAAGCAGGCTGGCTGGGGGATTCTGGGAGTGGAAATCCTCTCCTCTTAAAGCATCCTGGCTGGGGGATTCTGGGAGAGGAAGCCCTCCCCTCTTAAAGCAGGCTGGCTGGGGGATTCTGGGAGTGGAAGTCCACCCCTCTTAAAGCATCCTGACTGGGGGATTCTGGGAGTGGAAGCCCATCCCTCTTAAAGCATCCTGACTGGGGGATTCTGGGAGTGGAAGCCCACTCCTCTTAAATCAGGCTGGCTGGGGGATTCTGGGAGTGGAAGTCTACAAGTTTCCAACAAGGTTGGACACTCCTGCATTACAACCTCTCTGTCAGGATTCCGGCAGTCACCCCCCATTAAATCAGGAGTCTCGAGCCAAACTTGCAAAACTTCAAAAGGCCGACTCTGAGACACACCATTCATTGTCACCCTTGACCCTGATTTTCCCCCCACCCCTCTGAGTGTATCTTCATATTCTCCAATGGGACACATCCATAGCCCAGAGTGATCAATCTTGCTCTCCAGTTAGATATTTGCGGGGCAGAAACTTCAGTCACCTCGTTACTATCTCTGAAAAACTATGTATGGAATGCACTTTCGGTTTCCAAGCTGCTGTCCTGCTCCCCCCTCCCTTTCTGTTGGCAACTCTGAAAAGAGCGTAGAGATATTTTATGAGTTGGTCCCTCAGGAGACTTAGCAGCCCCATACCTTCAACGTACAACATTTCTGGTGATCACCAACGAACAACAAGTTCATTTAACAACTGCTTTGTTTGCTTAACAACCAACACACACACACCCATACAACCCCCACACAAGATCATCAAATCAGACCCAGTCACATGGCGATCTGTTTCTCGCCCGCCTCGATTTACATCCAGAATCGCAGACTCCCTGACGGTCCAAAATCGAGGGCTACCTTTGACCAGCCAACCCCATACAACCAGATTCCGCGCATGATCGGGACCCCCCTTGTGAGCTCCGAAAGGCCAAAAGTCAGTGGAATTCACTCGCGGCTCTCGGTCGGGAAAGCGTGGATGGTACCGGGGATGGCTGCCTGGAATTGCATTTTGCAAAAAAAGGGGGTGGGGGGAGCTGTGCTGGTCCCCCCCAAAGGGCCTGCTGAGAAAAGGGGCTCGGGGAGATGCACGTTACAAAATGGAAGTCTGACCCCCCCTCTTCCTGTTTCTTAATCACCCCCCGTTTTTTTTTCCCCTCCTAATTTTCTCAGCTATGATCTCCAGGAGTTTCCTGCCTGTGAAGTGAAGCGGAACCCGAATTTCTCCCTCTCCCCAAAGCCCCTTCCTCACCCTGGCTGCCTGGCCAGGGACCCACACCCAAATCTGCAGGTGGATTTCCTTTCTCTTGAGACCCAACGGAAGGAAGATTTCCCCAGCTCCTCCTTCTCCCCAAGGATTCTCCTTCTGGACTACGGTTAGGCACGGAGGAAAAAAAAAACGGCCCTTTAGTTTTCCGAGCTGCGATCTAGTTTTGTTTGTTTGTTGTTATCGCAAACTTTTTTTAAAAAAGGAAAACAGAAAAAAAAAAAAGACATTTGCGATCAGAAAGGCTCAGGGTATCTTCAGCGTGTCCGGGAAAGGAGCGGTTTTAAAACCCTGGAACCATTTTTGGGGGGAAGATCCTTTGAAATAATGAATTATTCCATTAACTGGATTCTCTTTCTTCGTGCATTTTGGGGCCAGTCCGGAAAAAGAGAAGAAGTCAGAGACAAATTAAATTTAAAAAAAAAAAGGACCCTTCCACTTTTCTGTCTCTTCTTGACTCCGTACCTCTCGCACTTTGCAAAACGACATTGAAAAAAAATGCAAGGAACAAAAAAAAAAAATAAGCAATGAATTTTTAATCTGTTTCCTGTTTTCTTTGCCTTTGCAAATATGTCCATTAAGGCGAAACAACTCAAACCCGGGTCAGACGTTAATCCTGTTTTTTGCTGAAATTGTTCCCGATTCCGGCTTTTCTACCTTCTCCTTTAATGCAGTTTGGGAGTCAGTTGCCTCTTCTTTTTTTTTTTTTTTTCCCCTTTCTCCAAATAAATCTGAAACTTCCTCCGATCTCCAGTGCTCGCCGCGCGCGAGACATTTTACAAGAATTTGGAATATTTGAGATAAAATCCACTCTGTCGTGCTTAATATATTCTTTTTTTCCCCCTTCTCCTATTTTTTTTTTCTGTTGCGATTTTTTTTATTCCTTCGGAGGTTGGTTTGGTTTTTTTTAGGTTCTCATTGTTTCCTGAAGACTTGTGCAAAAAAAAAAAAAAAAAAGGATTTATTATCTCAAAACTACTTTTAGGAAAGTTTTTGATTTGCCTCCAGCCGTTTGAAAGTGGAGTAAAGACTGAAACGCACGTCACTTTGCGGTATCGGCTGGAGCGAGAGACACTGTCAAGAAGCGAAACAAGTTGTGTATAGGTTTCTTTGGTACCGTGTACCACCTTATTGTCTGATACCCAAGTATTCCAGTACTCAAACCATATTTAATTGTGTTTTGATTGAAATATAAATATATATCTATATATAAATTAGGCACCTGTGTCCCGTTTTCTCTGTGTGGTTTTGTTTCTACTGCGCGCACCTTTTGGCTTCGATCAGCTCAATCGGCGGAAAATGAAGTGGGCTCTTGAATCTTTCTCTTCAAAACCACTCATTGGTCATTCTTCTGCGGGGTCCAATCTGGGTGGATCACCGGCCCCACTCAGTTTATTACAAACTGGCTGGATACCCGTGCTTCGCTACGAAACTATGTGATGGGGAGGAAAATAAGGGGGGTGGGGAATTCTGCCTCTGCCTACCAGAATCCATCGGTATTCCTCTGGCTAGCGTTCCTGTCAGTGTGTGAGAGAGTTGAGGACTGTTTGGACACTGAAAGAGTATTTGCTGTGTGAGCAAGGAGACAGCAAGGAGCCTGGGCGTGGCTTAGCTCAACTGTTCTATCCTCAAGCAGTTTAGTGCTGTGAAAGTAAAACTGAAACTGCTCTGCTTGTGTCTTGCATTTAGAAAAGATTTCAGGTGGGGAGGGGGAGTAGGACTCCTTAGCATCAGAGCGTGTTTAATAATAATAATAATAATAATAATAATAATAATAGTACAGGAAATACTAATAGCTCTGATGATCATTTTGAGAAATCCTTTCTTAGCTCTTAGAAGCCAAGAGGAACCTACAAGCCAAATTTCAACTTTGCAGGCTTTACGGTTCTGAAGATTTTGTGATGATGCACGAGTGCTTTTTTGCTTTTATATGCTGTTATATAGAAAGAGGAAGGCAAATCACAGATTCATTCAGAGATTTTATCTTTCTGCCATAGACTACCTGCACTGAATAATAGAAGCTTCAGTCCTAAGGAAGGTTCTAAAGATAAGACAGCAAGAAATGCATCAGAAGAGCTGATAGTCCGGGGGGCGCAGGGGGTGGGGGTGGGGAGGAAAATTAGCAACTTAGCAGGCAGGTAAGGAAGGAGTAGGCTGCGAGGGTGACCGCGGGCCACGTGGGCAGCACAGCCTTGTGTTCCCGCGCAGCCTGGATTAATTGCTTTTGGGGTGGTGGTGCTCTAGGGGTGACATTTCTCTGCGGCCCACCAAAATTTTATCACGGCCCACCAGTGGGCCATGGACAGTCCTCGGCCTTCCTTAATCCAGGCCTTTGATTGCTCCCTCCTCAAACTTCTCACAAGATCGGAAAGCGTCAGCCTCCGAAGACCTTGGCCCTCCTTCCCGGAGTATCTCAGCCTTTGAAGCTCTAATCAGCTTACGACTTGAATTCCTGGCTTGTGCCAGGATGTTCTTGGCACCGGAGATTTTCCGTACCAAGAGCGTTCGTTTTCCAAGCCCTCATTGGAAATTGGGTGCAGTGGTTGGGAGAGGAACAAATCGGTCGGGTGAATCGCATTTAATGGAGCCTTGTTGTGAGGTATCAAACCGGATTACCAACCAGAAGACCTTCAGAACTTCCACACGTCCTCGTTGTTCTGCCATGGTTCATTTATATCCTTCAATGTCTTCAATCAAGGCCGTTTCTGGTCGGAGACTTTGACGCTGTTGGGAAGCCTCAATCCACCTCTGGGCTTCCCATGTGCTGGTTGGCAAACTGCTTCCCAACTTGCTTCAATTTCTCGCCTCGCTCTCTGGCCTTTGCCATCGGTAGTTCTGGATGGAACCGTCTATGGCTTATCCTGAGCCCAGAGAATAAGCAGCTGTTTTGGTAACATTTCAGAAGCTTGGGCAGGCAAGGGAGAAGTTGAAGTCGAGGTGTTTATTTGTGACATCTGGGGGGGTCGGGGAAAGGAAATGGGATTGTTGGTTGGAAGTAGGTTCACCTTCTTCGTAAGAGGCCCCGGCTATATGGGGTGGACAGACCCAGGGAAGCCTTGACAAGTGAAATCCCCCTGTTGTCAGGTGGTGCTCCATTCAAAATCCAAGAAAGAAATACTTAGACTCCACAGATTAGAGAAAAGATATCATTTACTGAAAATGAAGTGGTAGCAACTGTAGACTTCTGAATCTGAGAAATCAGGCACGCAAATCACATATACAAAGTGATGGAAATGTTCCCACCCCCCAAAAAAAGTTCAAAGGATTCTTCCAATTAAAAGTTGTGAATATGATCACTCGGACATCTTCAGGTGGTGATGAGGCCTCTGTCGGGTTGACCTTGGCATAGTTTGATAAAGGTTTGCAGCTGCGCAGAGAAAAGAAAGCTAAGCGAGAAATAGAAACCTAAACAGGAATTTATACTCCCCCCGCTCCTCATTTTTACAACACTAGAATGTAACACCTCCAGCATGCTTCCCAGACTTTACCCCCTCCTCCCCCCGTTACTTATGGCAGCCAAAAGATACAAAGCAATAGTAGAAGATCTTGAAGGCTGACACCTGTGATGACCCAGGGTGAGATACAAAATAAACAGAGTCACAAAAACAGGGGAAGCCCCATTTTATTCCTTCATTTTGCTTCCAAGCTCCAGATATCCTTGACTGGAGATTAAAAAAAAAACTCCCCCACAAACGGTTACGAAAAGGAGGAAATGCCGTTTAAACTAAAAATGATTAAAAATTATAAAGAGTATAAAAACAACACAAACCACACTGAAGCAATTAAGGAAACCAGGCAAGATAAGAGCTTGAAGATGTCCACAGATATCGGAACACACACTGGGAAGGACGCCAAACTCAGAGAGGAACGACAGACTAGAGATATTTCCACGCTTTGTTTCCAGCACTGGCCCATACGCATGTCCGTCCTTTTAACCAGTTCTCACAGCTGCAGCCCATGAAGGGGATCAAGGCCCTTTCCTCCCCCGTAGACCATGTCTCTCCCTTATCCACCCTGCGTGCCCTAGGACAGAGAGGCGATGGGCCTGGTTCTTCCTCCGGCTGCCCAGCCTCCTCCCCAACCTCCGGAGCCACACTTCCACTCCCTGTCGGCTGTTCCTCCACTCCCTCCGAGTCAGTCTTCCACAGGGGCACGACACCCCTGCATGCTCTCTGCCCCTTAGATGGCCAGCCCAAGAGTGGGGATTGAGAAAAGGGGGGGATTCTCCCAAAATGAAGATCGGCCACTCTCGCAGAGAGATGGGTTCAAAGAACTTTGAGTAGGTGGGACCTCAAAGGTGAGTCAGCTACAGCTTGAATTGGGCCAAGGGTTAATGGACTGAGATGCCCCAGGTACAAAGAACAAAAATCTGATAGGATTGTCAAGTTTTAATCAACAGTGTCTGAAGGGCTCTGAGCCAGGTTTATACAAGGTTCAAACCTGATAGTCGCGCTACAAGGACTGACACGTGGAATTGCTCAAGAGTGATTTCCTTTATTATTCTTCACTTATAGACAGACTCTTGCCAGACTAAAGCAGCCATCTGCATAACTGCAGACCAATTCTGGAAATCGCTAGGAAGGAGCCGTTTTAACCCTCCACCAAACTTTCCAAGCGAGCTCTTTGCCATCTGGGGTGCAGTCTCACTCTCCTGGGAATCCCAGACTACATCCCATCATAAATGAAATCATTTAATAGAAAAATTAAGAATTGATACTATGTTTAGCAAAGCCTCTTTTTTAGATTAAAAAAGCTTGTGTTTATGGGCAGTATGCGGGTAATAAACACCAGAAGGCAAGACAAGAAACGGATTGAAACTACTCCTGGGGAGAATCAGGGGTGGGATTCTACCAGTTTGCACCTATTCACTAGAACTGGTTGTTAACATTCTAAGCAGTTTGGAGAACCGGTTGTTAGAAGAAATTACTGGCCTAATCCTGTAAGGAAGCCAGGAAGGAAACATTCTGGGGTTGCTTACAGAAACTGCCTCTCCGTTAACCCTGATTACATTCTTGGCAGGACTCAACTTCCTTTCTCAGGAACGTCTCTGGAGTTTTTTCCCCCCTCCTTTGCTGGTCCTTTGCTTGTGTGGAGCGACCATTCAAAGTTACAATGGCACTGAAAAAAGTGACTTATGACCATTTTTCACACTTAGGACTGTTGCAGCATCCCCACAGTCATGAGAGGCCAAGCAAGGAGATGTGTGCCTCCATGTGAGTGATGTTGAGTTGGCCATGCCCAGCCAATAACATGACCACCAAGCCGCACCCATCACCTAAGCCACGCCCACAGAACCGGTTTGTTTTTTTTTTGTTTTTTTAAAAATTGAATCCCACCCCTGGGGAGAAGCAACTTAAAATTAAGGAGAAACTTCCTGACAGGGAAAATAATTATCCAGCAACTTTAAGACCTGTGGGTGTATCAAAATCTCCAGGATTGTGTTATGGGTGAAACTCCCAAAGAAAGAAACTCTGCCAGCACAGGTAAGTGTGTGTGTGTGTGTGTGTGTGACGTTTAGATAAGATTTTTCCCAATTGACCTCACCCCTTTTGTTTTGTTTGAGCAATGAGAGGCTGAACCAGAGCATGAGTGCAACAATACTTTATTTTACAATAAAGGGCTGACCGTGCTTGCCAAGCCTGGAACTGGCTCGCAGCAATCAGCAACCGGTTGGACCCCGCAGCCTGCTTTTATAGCTGGCTGCTGGGGAGAGCCAACCAATGGGAATGGGGGAATAACGCCCACGTAAAGAGAGTGGACCTGAGTGAGAACTCCTTGAGTCCTCAGGACATAACACCCCTTCCCCC